TATTTAGCATTATGATATTTTTCACATATTATATATATATTATGTATCTTGATTGATTTTTATATAAATATGCTGCGAGGTCTGTTTAGTTGAACGTGCTTATGTTTGTATATTCGATTTTCGATTTACGATATCGATACTCGACTATCGATGTTCGATATCGATAAGTTCAGTCAGTTTTAATGCTCAGTCTATCATTGAAAACAATTTTGCTAAGAAATTTTACAGTTCGTCTTCGATTTTCCCACACTCCAAGCAAAGAATCTGATATGAATTATTATGATGCTTTGGGAATAATACATAATTTTGACTCAAGTCTATAAAGGGCAGTATTCAGGTTCCTTACTAAATATATATGTAATGTATATATGTATATATGTATGTATAATCATATATCATCTATATGTAATATATATCAAATCATTTATCATATATGATCTTATATACCTTTGATCTGCTTAAAGAAATCGTAAAACTTTTCCGCAGTTTTAACATAAAGATAAAGAAAACTTTTGTCTTTGACATGGAAATTTTGTTTTTATTTCCGTTCATTTCTTTGATTTTCGCCTTTGCCTTTGATAAGTTTAGTTTTCATGGAATGCATTTGCATCTGGCCACACAAAACTTTTTGATGGTTGTTGTTGTTGTTGTTGTTGCAGTTGGACTTTTCTTTTGATAACTTGAGGTTTATGTTGTAGTTGTAGCTGCTGCTGCTTGTAGTTGTTGTTGTTTTTTACTATTTCTATCCGCTTGCAGTTGAAAAGTCTTTGATCTGCTTTTTATATGCTTCCGATTTAATTTCATTTTATTTCGTTTGCTGCTTTCGTTTTTATTGCCCACTTGAAACATGTTCGACTTTTGTTTGAGTTTCATCTAAACAAAGACACAGACACAGACACATACACATACACATACACATACACAGACAGACACACACAGGGGCATAGTCATGCACACGCATCTGAGGCTGCAAAATTGAACATTTCGTTGATCTAAGCAGACAGAGAGAGCGAAAGAGAGAGAGAGAGAGAGAGAGAGAGACAGCAGACAGCAGGAGAGGCAGACAGACATCCATTTAGGGCATAAGAACGAACGTTTACAACAGCGCCAGGCGCAGGCTGCGATAAGAAAGGCAAAGTAGGCGGCAACGCGAACCGAACGCCTCCAAAAACCAACGCAAAACCCATGGGCAATGAACGACTGCCAGATACGCAGCCAGCCGCAGCGAGTTGCCATTGATTGAGTAAACTCTGAAATATGAACTAAGCATACTTATATATATGTGTATGTATATAAATACATACATATATTCATTCACATAATATCCTATTAGACTCTCAATTATTGAACTCTACACCTTCCCTGAGCACAGCCAGTTACAGGGTATGCCATAGCCAACTGGCTGGCATGGCGTGGCCTGGTGCCGCATTTTATGGCTTTTGATACTCTGTCGGCGTCACAGCGGCAGCAGCCGCAGCAGCTGCAATCAGCTGCAGTCTCTATTGCCCGAGAGCCGCTGCACTTAACGCCGCACAGCATCCCAATGACCAAATGACCAAAACAGAAAGCGGCGCATGCGCTTGGTAGGGGCGGGAGTAGAGGCGCGGGTAGGGGCAGGGGCAGGGGCAGGGGCTGGGGTAGGGCATGAAATGCAAGATATATACTCAAAAGAGCCCGATGAATGCCGCAACAGGCAAAAAGGTGTTAATGGACTTTGGCCAAAAGAAAGGCCCCGACCATGACCCCGACTACCGTCCGAAGTCCGACGCTCGACGTCTTCCGACCCCTGCAATGTCGTTTGTCTACGCGTCGCACATTTCTCACTTCTTTCTTTCTTTTTCACTTTTTCACTATTTCTCTTTGTCTACGTGTATGTGTGTGTGTGTGTGTGTGTGTGTCTGTCTCTCCCTATTCGAAACTCGGCTTTTGTGGATCGCGTCAGCTCGTCTCTAGATTTCCACTAAACGTTTGCCCCATTACCATCAGCATTATCCGGCACCGTCTCCGTCTCTGTCTCCGTCTCCGTCTCTGTCTTTGTCTCCGGGTGCTGCCTCATCTTCTTCATCGTCTGCCACAGCTTTAGGCACGCACTCGTTTCGACTATTTCCATGGTAAATTATGGCCAAGACTGAAGCTGACCTCAAATGCACTTACGGCCAAAACGAACAAAAAAAAAAAAATGCTCAACTTTAGTTCCAGTTAACAATTTCTTGCTCATTTCGTCATTTCATTTTTGTCTGCTTCTTCTTCTGCTGCTGTTGCTGTTGTTGTTGTTGTTATTTGCTCTTTGTATTTTTCATTTTGTATTTTTCTTTCTTTTATCATTTTATCTGGAACATGCAAAGGCGACGCCGACGCCGACGCCGACGTTGACGCTGACGTCGACGGCGCAGTCACTGATAGCAGGCAGCGTTTTACATTGAAAAGCAATTAAATGTTTGCGGCTGTCGCTGCTCCAGAGTCTTTTGACTGATAACTTGGCTGTGCGAGTGTGTGTGTATGTGTGTGTGTGTGTGTTTGCTGCCTTGTCTAGATATGCTTAAAGTAATAGAGTTCCCCTACATTAGGTCCCGGACGAAACTCCATATATGTAGATAATGAAGCAGAGAGCACGAAAACATCCAAAAGTCCTTTCAAGGAAATTACCGAAACTGAGGACCATTCTTACTTATAGCAGGCATTGCTATTCAAATTGTAGATTCTATTTGAAATTTGAACAGTCCTTAGTAGATTTTATAGCTGGTATAGTGCTAGGGCTTGAGCTGATATGGCTTCATTTAGAACAAGTCGAACAAATGGAAACATAGGCAAAACAACCCTCAGCATTTAAATCACATTGAGTACTGCGATAAGCCATCATAATGCTTTATATATCTCACAAATACTTCGCTATCTTTAATATAAATTTACAGTTTCATCTCATATTTGATATGGAGTAAACAAATCTCAGGCAGATCAGGCTAGAGGATTGTGAATTAATTGAAGAAAAAGAGTTGATTTTACTGTATGATCAACTCTCTTTTAAAAATACTCTAAGAAAAGAGCTCTGAATCTATATAGAGTAGGCATAGCTGAGTCAGCCTAGACATCTTTGCCTTATAAACTACAAGGGCCTTTGGGTAATTGATTCATGATCCACGATCTATGTACTGTGTATAGTATGAATATGTATAAATATAGGAGATGTATATGTATGATATATGATATCTCATTTCAGTTATCATAGATAAGTTTTTAATCGATTTTGATGACAATTCAATTGAAGAGGAAGAGTTCCTTCTTTCTCTTTCTCTCTCTCCCTCTCTCTCCCTCTCTCTCTCTCTCTCTTTCTCGTTCTCTCTCTCCCTCTGTCTGTCTTTCTCCTTATCAATAAGCAAAGCTCTACATGTCGCAACGCCCCCATGAAGCATAGATCAGCTACCAAATATACCATAGCCATCTGAACTAGAATTCCGTAAGGTCTATTATTCTACATATACACTTATATCATTATATACAGTGGAATATACATATTAGAAATATCTCTTATTCTACATATTATTATTATTTATTATTACATATTGTTCTACATATCATATATCATAATATATATATGCATATTTGATATATCTCTTTATCCTTGTGTTTCATATACGCTATCTCCTTTATAGATAAGCAGTTGCCTGTTCTACTACAGCTATGAATCGATTTTGATGGTTTCTTCTGATTGACATTTCGGAATCTCCCGAGAGACTTTGCCCTCAGTCTTTATTTCAATTTATAGTTTAGTATTTGTTTTTCCCTGGCTTTCGTCGTTATCTTGTGTACATCGCGAAACGACAAAGCCAAAGCGAAAACCCACAAAAAAACAACACTCTATATATATATATAGAAATTTTTTTTATATATGTCTGTGCACACATAAAAAGACGTGAAGAAGAGGAAACAGCTAAAAAGTGGAGGCGCTTTGATCAACTGCCGCCAGTTGCCGTCAACGTCAGAGCAACTGACACAGCGCCGACTTTGACTACAGCTGGAGATCGAGCTGGAGCTCGAGCTGGAGCTGGAGCTGAGCTTAAGCTGAAGTAGAAGCTGAAGCTCTGGTCATGTCCATATCTACAGTTACAGATCCGACTACGTCTCCGGCGTCGCAGTCCGATGACTTTCGCAATGCTTTGTGACTTTTGAACACTTTTTGTTTTTGCTGTTTTTTTTGTTTTTTGTTTTTTTTTTTTCGCACGTAAGCGTCAAGAATTGTTTTTATGGCCACACACCATACCGAAAGGCAAGCCGCTTATCGGGGCACAGGCATCGGCACAGGCACCACCGGCTCAAGCACAAAGCTAGGCCAGGCTGCGCTATGGAGGGGGTGGGTGGGACTCTTACCTGCAGCTCAGCCTCCAGCTGATTGGTGTGACCCGCGAGATTGGGCAACGCGGTCATATTGTAGCCGAGCCCCTGGCAGGCGGACACGGCGATGCGCTTGCACTGTAATCCATTGGGGCTGTTGCCGCCGCCGCCGCCGTTGGCRGCGCTGCCCGCGGCCGCTGCCTGCGCCTGGTGGCCGCTGCACTGCAGCAGGCAGGAGGCGAGCAGGGCCAACAGAAGTTTAGCTGCCAGCATTACGCACCGATTCGACTGCTTGCAGAGCTGTTGTCACGGGTCTGGTCACTATCGGGCCGTACACTAGATCTTTGTGGCTAGTTCAGGATCAGAATTAGGATCAGGATGAGAGGCTGACAGATCAATTGGGCCTCATTGTTCACAATATGCGAATCATTCACTCGCGCGGGCGCTGCTCTTATCAGCGAGTCACGTGAAAAAAAAAATATTGAGTGGGTGGGTAAATCAAGAAATCAAGACTCGATTTACTATAATTGAATAATAAATATATTTCCGATTGGGTCAGGAGGCACTGCGTGAATCGTACGTAATTTATCTAATTTGAGGTGCGACTGTAGCGCGTCCACACTGCTCGATGTTTCAACGTGGACTGAACGAGGCGGCGAAACGAACTGCAACTCGTCGGGTTCAGCCGGTCGCCGAAAGAGCGCGAGCAAGAGAGAAAGAGAGAGAGAGTGGCGAACTGGAGTAACAGCTGAAACTAAACTGAGCGCGCATCTAAACAACAAAGCGATGCTAGAGCAGAAGCAGAGAGCGAGGCACACAGAAAGACAGAGATAGAGAGAGAGAGAGTGAAGGACAGATAAGGCACATATAGAGAGCGGAAGGTAGAGCGAGAGAGAGAGAGAGAGAGAGAAGCGCGCTGTTTTTGGGAGAGGAAGCCACAGTTTGGGCGCTAGACAATTTGAATTTGTGGTCCGTTTCATCAGGTGCATTACATATTTGCATTGTCACAGACCAAAGTGTATGTAATTAAGAGCAACAGCACTAACAACAACAATGCATGCTAGTATAACAGTGGTTGTTATACGCCCGCCTGCATTTGGTACAGGTTAATGTGAATATATTCGAGATAATCAATTAATCATAATAAATTAAAAATATAAATAATTTTTATA